TGGGATAACAGTTGTATGAGCCCCTAATAAAATGTTAAAAAAAAAAAAAAAGAATGAGCTTCCAAGAGGATGTGCAGATCAAGAAAACTGCAAGGGACAAACACATGAAAATATAAAGCCACTGGTGTTGGGTCACTTGCTCCTCTTCTGCCATATTTTTCAATCCACCAATCTGCATAGCAAATGGAATATGTATTCACCACACACATCCATAATGGATGCTAACTGTCCTCAAACCGATGGTGAATATAGTTGGATTGTGTTTTCTACCGCGACTAGGTCCCCACAAAAAATTAGGAGTAAATTTTTTCCCTTTGCAATTCCATTTTGTAAACACACTGGCAAAATTGTACTTAAGAGACTGCTTTATCAATAGTTCTGGGAAGTGAATTATCTTTTATTAAGATATCTGCTACCTAATTTACTCATAAGCCTGGATTTTTATATATATGCTGACGGTATCAGCTCCAGTTCATTGGTGAGGGTACAAAAATTAGGATAGCACAACAACATCCAAAAAAAAAGAACCTTGTATTTTTGTGTCTAGGGTCTTCAAAGCTTGTGAATGCCCATGTAAGATACACTATTGGTCTCTAATCATCTTGAGCAAAAGAGAAAGAAAGAAATCCAAGAAACAGAGAAGGAATCTGACTATAGGGCTCCACAAACCAGTCTCCTTTTCTTGAGACCAGAAAAACTAGATGGTGTCCGTTACCACCACCACCACATGCTCTGATCAAGGTCACAAGAGATGGACTTGATAGAAAGGAATCAAAATGCGGAAAAGAACTTTGAATTCACAAAGAATCCAGACTTACTGAATCCAATGAGATGAGACGAGTCCTCCGGGCTCTGAAATACTCGTTAAACTTTGAAGAAAACAATCCCCTGGAGTCTCCTCTTAACTAAATAACAGGTGAGCTCACAAAGTAAAAGACGTCACTCTTGAACAATAGTGTAGATGAGCAGTGAGCCTAAGCACATGGCCGTGAACTAGAACAGCGATCGTGGGAACGGTGGCTCGAGTGAGGAAGGTGGCCCGTGTCACTGAACGCCGAGGCAGAGACTGTCAGACGCAATGCTGCTTTGCCGTGCACACTTTCACACACACAAAATGGCAGAAGAATATTATCTCATAAGTGTGCATGTAAAATACTAACAGAATATGTTTTCCCCAACAGTAACTTTTATTATTCTAAATGCTAATAAACTGTTCATTCATACCTTTAAAAATACCAGGTCCTACAAAATATTAAATTTTTTATGACATTGCTTAACATACATTGCTATCTTATTTGATCTCATGAAGAAGAGCTATTGTCCCGTTTCCAGATAATGAAATTAAGGTCAAATGTCCGCCTACAGTCTGGAGTCTGGGTGGCAGAGAGAAAATACTAGAAACTAGGACATCTACTGGCTCCAGGGCCAGGTTCTTGCTGATCCAATACAAACTACCTCTAAGTGCCTGTCAATCAATGAATTATTGAACACAAATAAAGACATCTAGGAATTATAATTCCACAATAATGAAAGAAAAGATACTAAAAACTTGCCAAGAATTTAATGCTCCTAGGGTGAGGAGCCCTGGTGGTGTAGTAGTTACACGTTGGGCTGCGATCCACACGGTCGGCAGTTCAAAACCACCAGCAGTTACTCCG